GGTTTAAGGGTTTAGAGTTTAGGGGTCTAGTAAGGGTTTAGGGTTTATAGGGCTTAGGGGTTCAAGGTGTAGGGTTTCAGGGTTTAGGGGCTTAGCAAGGGTTTAGGGTTTAGGGTTTGGGGTTTCAGGGTTTAGGGTTTGGGGTTTAGGGGTTTGGAGTTTTAGGGGTAAGTTTAGGAACCTTCATCTTCCAAAGCCTTTAATTAAGGATTGTACCATAATAACAACAATATACAGTATACCTTAGATCGCACTCCTGCTGGAACGCACGGCGTATTCGTTAATTCTTGCTGAATCTTAGGAGGTCTGGAAGTTTCAGGCTTGTCAAAACCTGCTCACTAAACTCTGGTCCCTAGCCCCTACCCTAAACCTCATACCAAACGCAAGCTTCTCTTCAACCCAGATCTGAAACTGTCTCCCGACCATAAAACAGGAGGTTAGCCGAAAAGCCCAAACCCCACGTGGATAGACTCAGTAGACACGAAACGCATTTAAACAAACAACTGAACCCCAAGACCCAAGAACCTCCAAGGAACCAGGAGCGCCAGTGGTATCGGGAGAAGCATGGCCTGGATGCGGGACAAAGTCACTAAACCCCCAAGCTCTGCGATGCGAAAGTTTAGGTTCCTGGTGGGGCTTGGGAAAAAGTTTGATTCTATCGAAAATCATTCCCTGGTGGTCTCCATGATCTGGTTATGCCTTGAATCAACCAGAATCCTTAACCCTAAGCCCTAACCTAAGGTCCTGGGGCTCTGTGCTATCCCTCGTTCCCCGCGACGTGAATCTTCAGGGTGTAAGTTTCCTGGGATTGTTCTAACCTTAAGGACGGAATGAACCTGAAAAGGGTGTCAGGTTCACGTACCATACAGGGATTCATAGTATAAGGGTATAAGGACCCTACTTATAAGGGTCATTGCGTCCCAAGGAAAAGACCGTGGGACTTAGAAGAAAGGATAGAAAACCAGGGCAACTATTTTAGGTCACGCGCACACCAGGACCCTGGTGGCCACGTGACTTTCGAATTGCAATATTTCCTAGGGGAGCAAGCTAACTTCTTGGCAGAAATTAGTTTTCACAACACCGCAAAAAACGATTAACGACCTGAACCGAAAAGTAGGGTTTAGGGTTTAGGGTTTAGCTGTAATTTCTAAAGCTGGCGGCCAAGGCATGGAGCTCTGTGGCTTAAGGTTTTGGGCCTACGATACATATGTAAGGGTCGTCGACAAAGGTTCATGTGTATGCAACGTCTGAGATCTCTGTGGTATTCATGACAGACAAGACATAAAAAGGCACATGCACAGCATGTATTACATCACAGGCTCATGAGGCATTTTAGGCAGGCGGAGAATGCATGGAACACATAGTGTACATGTGGAGCATGTAACAGAGACAGCTTTTGCAAAACATCAAGGCTCGAGCACTGCAGCAGTTTTTTGGGTGCTTGCTGGAGGGAGTGAACATGATATCAAGAAGCCGTATTTAGGAGTTGGAGTTTAAAGCGATCTCAGAAGCTCCGCATGCAAGTCGCGGTAGCATCTTGCGCCGATGCCATGTTCAAGACATTGCAAGGTAGGCAATGGCGCGGATGCAGGTGCGGCGGCATTGAAAGCCGTTCGACCTGTGAAGGCCGCCACGCTCTCCGTCTGGTACTTGGGCGCCTATGCCGCGGAGCTGGCGCCTCCTTGCTGCGGTTGGCAGAGCGTCTTTGTGTCAGTTTTTGCAAGACCTGAATTTCAAGGTACGTTGCAATTGCCGTCGGGGTTGTTGCTAAATGTTTTCGGGCTTGGAGGTGCCGCGACCTGTTGTTGGGG